ATGGGATTTTCAAAGCTCTCCTAACCTCTTTCCCAGGCCCACCCCTCGTTAATAGAAGGCAACTTTGCCCAACCCTTACTGCCTCAACGAGGTTGGCAATGTTTGTAATTTGGACCTCCATTTCAGTCACCAATTCACTAAGATCTATTCTCTCTTCAAAAGGTGAAAAAGCCATTTGAATCAAAAAGTAGAAAGTTTCAAATACTTATGAAATTTCACAAAAAACACTGGTTGGAAATGTCTAGAAATCACGAAAAAGAGAATTTATGATTTGAAAATAATGTGAAAAACAGGGAGAAAATTGTAAGAATTTGAGTTCAGGTTAATAACAAAGGCAAAAGTGATTTTTGCCCTAAAATGTTGCCTTTTATAGGTAGAGGCATTCAATCCTAGTGGTTGATGGTGATCTAGATCATCTAGCCATTAGTTACAAAATTAAATCTGAGCCACTAACTGCATTTGTCATTTCGCATTCAAAGGCCCAAATTATGGCGTCACATTTATGCATTTGAACGCATTTAAACAACATGCCCACGACAGCTAGCATTGTGCATTAAATATGACAACGATTGCATGTGTTGGAACTCGAATCGTCCTCGTCAGTCGTATTTTCTGGGACTTGCAGAAACATCTAATCATTTCAACACAGTTATCAACAATGCCTTGTTCTTACCAACTCTGAACCAGTAAAACCTCTTCAGCTTCATCATCAGTAACCTCGTCCAAATTGACGAAGCACAACACTTTATCTTGACCTTTACAACTTCGACATAATCAAATACGTATAATTACAACCCCGTAATAAGTTGCGTCAGCTCTTATAAGGTTCCTCAATAAACAACCTTGATAGGCGCCTCGGCTATTCGTCATATATAATTCACAAACTCTAATTTATATATGAATATTCGCAAATTAGACTTGGGGGACTATACTGTTATGGGATTAAAACACACGTCTACAAAAATTTTTCCAATATAATGTAAACTCTGTGTATTGCATAAATGACCATACATAAACTTTATGGACTATTGTTACTGATCATATGTGAAGCTTCCAATGGAGGCCAAAAGGCACCACGCAATATAACATCAAAGAAGAATGTAAGGATTGCCTTCTTAGCCGAGACCCTATTTCCATCAAAGCTCCATTGCCGAAGCGCTCCCAACCCCTAAGCCAAACTCCTTCATGTCTGAGGCTCTCACATGTCCTCCATGACAAAAGTGATTGTATTCTTCAGAACAGGTCCGATGAGTGTATCTTTAGGAATGACTGATGTGACGTTTGCATTAATAGATGTCAAATATGTTAGCTTAGGAATGTAGAGTAGCTGACCCCTTGTCAAATGTATTTGTCAATGTAATTAATGTAAGATAGTGTGATTTGACACTTTGATCAATTAGATGAGGCCATGTAGATCTAATCTAACGGTGGCCAGTTCAGCTAATACATTATAAATAGTTGTAACATTGTAAGGGATGGATAATAGACATTCAAGCATATACTATTATCATCTCTCTTTGAACACTCATTTAAGTTGTCATTTCTATTTTTCGATTGCTCTCGGCTGTGAATATCCCATTCTTATATCCACTATGCAGTCGGTCTTCAAATCTCTGATTGAGAATTCATAGAAAATCCATCGAAATTCACTTACGTGGACATCAGCGGAACACAACTTCCATTGGCACGTTTTTTGAGATCAACAGAAAGTAAAATGGCAACTGCCTTAACTCGTACTTTGCTATTTGTATTGGAGGAATTCCTTCAAACGGTCACCCCTCAAACATGTTTTTGTGTAAGAAGCCTTTGACCAATTTGAAGAAAATAAAATAAAACTTAAGTATTTAAAATGGCAAAAGACTATTTTTAACTTTCTCATGTTAAACCAAATTAAAGAAAGATATATATCTAGGAACTAGTTCCATCCCCAAATTGAACTATCTTTCCTTTACGTCAAATTCTCAAATTCAAATTCATCTCTCATTCAACCTTCTTCTTCTTGCGAGGTTGCGATGTTGGAGGGTTTTGAAGTGAATGACAATATTGATATCTGCTACAGCTATGATCGTACTGTTGGTTAATGAATTTAATCATCACAATAGGAAATTAATTTTCCTTTGAAGATTAAAATCATGTAAATACGGATTTAATTGACCTTGAAATCATTGGATTATAAAATCCTTACATATAGAAAGGGGAGATGATAACCTTTTTGAAGGAGATATTAATGGCCTAGCCAATTGCTTCCTCCCTTATATCTTCTCCCTTGTTCTCCACAAGGTGTAATTCCTTTTTAGGGAATGTGAAAAGTGGCTAACCCTAATTCTTCTTAAAAATATGCCAATAAAGTGCATATTTATAATGACCTATTAGGGTTTGAAAATTGCACAAATTTCTCTAGACTTTATTGTAGGAGGCCAATTAAGTCACACACCTTTTATTAGAGCCAAGAGAGGGACCTAATTGGACTCATATGACCCAAGCTCCAATAGATATTTTCAATTGGGTCAACTCTTGACCAATTGAGATACATCTCTTAATCTCGGCTTATTCTACCAAAAAATCGAGATTGCACTCTCGAGTCGAGTGATAGTTATATAAACAAATTATGATCCAATAACAATATCCTCTGATTAACATTCCACAAGTCAACCCCCATTTGATCGTCAATATGTTGAAACTGGTAAAATGATCGTTTTGCCCTTCAACATGTATTACCCTCTAAGTCCCATTTTCATACGACAAATTCGTTGTGATCCAATTACAATGTAAAGTCTAATGATCTCATCGTCAACCTACTGAGCTCAGATTTAATTTGCCTCGAAAAGTACCTTAGAGTGACTATCGTCTCATCTCAATGATTAATGGATTCCAATATTGTAAGTATATGATCTCTAATTGTTTCGGCCTGATTTCCAAAGCACCAAGATCAATCTTCTATTTAAGACTTCACTCATTGGTACCTCAAAGAACTTGAACTAGCAATCAAAGGTACATTACTCACTCAGGATTTAGGTGACCTGTTTGATAATCAAGTAGAGTCTCATTTCAAACGGTCATAAATGAGTCATATACGCGGTCCCGTTCAATGTGCATCGAAACACATTATTGTTCCTATTTCAAGATCTAGACAAATCTTAATAAGAACAATACAATCTTATCAACATAAAGCATTCAACTTTATGAACCGATTGTGAATGACAAAATTTTGATCATATCACAAATTGTGTCTTACTATACCCGATCCATTGAGTATATAATTTGTGACATCCTATATGATCATGGAACCTTAGACAATCACTTCAAATTATAACACGCAATAAAACGAACGAAAATTCATAATTTGATTTTATAGAACATTACTCCAAGAATGGGTATCAAACTAACAATCTCCCACTTGCCATTTTTATAGTATGTATGACATATCAAGAATACCCATCCCCTTTAGATGTCCATCAAAAGACTTAGCTGGTAAGGTCTTAGTGAACGGATCCGCAAGATTATCTACTGATGCAATCTTACTAACTGTCACGTCTCCTTGATGAACAATTTCTCTAACAAGGTGATATTTTCTGTCGATGTGCTTGCCACGCTGATGACTCCTCGGTTCTTTAGCATTGACAATCGCCCCACTATTATCGCAATAAAGCGTTATGGGCCCCATTGCCAAATGTACCACGTCAAGGTCCAAACAAAACTTCTTGAACCATACAGCTTCTTTAGCAGCTTCATAAGCCGCTACATATTCTGTCTCCATGGTGGAATTAGCAATACAAGATTGCTTGATACTCCTCCATACCACAGCTCCACTTCCCAGTATAAATACGGATCCGGATGTAGACTTCCTAGAGTCACGATCGGATTGAAAATCAGAATTAGTATATCCAATAAGATTTAGATCATGTCTTGAGTAGACAAGCATATAATCTCTTATTCTCCGAAGATACTTGAGTATATGCTTTACCACTACCCAATGTTCTGGTCCCGAATTAGACTGATAACAAATAACAATACCCACAGCATAACAAATATCCGGTCTAGTGCAAAGCATAGCATACATGAGACTTTCCACAGCTGAAGCATAAGGAACCTTTCTCATGTAATCTATCCCGTTGTATTCTTGGTACAGTGCTCTTTAGATAGATGAATTCCATGTCTAAAAGAAAGTTGTCCCTTTTTAGAATTCTGCAATGCTAATCTGGACAATATTTTGTCAATATATGAAGCTTGGGATAATGCAATCATTCTGTTTTTCCTATCTCACAAGATATGGATTCCCAAAACATAACTAGCTTCTCCCAAGTCCTTCATATCAAATTGCTATGACAATCATTTCTTTACAGATGACAATGTCCCTACATCATTTCCAATGAGTAGAATGTCATCTACATAAAGAATCAGAAAAACTACTTTCTTCCCTTACATTCGTTTGTCAAGGTTCATCCAGATTTTGCTCAAAATCATAGGTCTTGATGGTTTGATCAAATCTTACATTCCAAGATCTGGACGCTTGTTTGAGTCCATAAATGGACCTCTGCAACTTGCAAACTTTTCTTTCATGTCCTTCTTTCACAAATCCTTCAGGTTACATCATGTAAATGGTCTCCTCAAGACGCCCATTTAAAAATATTGTCTTAACATCCATTTGCCAAACCTCATATCATATGAGCGGCAATGGATAAAATGACTCGAATAGATTTAAGCATGGCAATCGGTGAGAAAGTTTCTTCATAGTCGATGCCTTCTCTTTAGGTAAAACCTTTGGCCAATAACCTTGCTTTGAAGGTTTCAACCTTCCCATCAATACCTCTTTTCCTTTTATAGACCCACTTGCATCCTATTGGCTTTACCCCATTAGGTGCATTTACAAGATCCCAAACCTTGTTGGAATACATAGATTCCATTTCTGAGTTCATGGCTAATTTCCATGATTCAAAGTCTACATCCTCCATTGCTTTCTTAAACGAAGTGAGATCTTCTTCTTGCTCAATAGAGATCGCCTAATAGGATTCTCCATAGAGCAAGTACCTAGAAGGTGGTCTCACAACCCTCCCACTACGAGTAATAGTTGAAGGTGTCTGATTGTCCAGTCTGACCAAAGGTCCTCCCTTTCTTTCCACTGTTTGATCCCGTCCTTGGTTAGGAACAACATCATCATTATCCCCATTTGTAGGGACATGTGGACATACAACAATGGGTGCCTCATTTTCTACTACCTCTGGTTTTATTTGCCTATGAGGCCCTGTGGGCATCACTTGCTCATTTGCTTCATCAGCAACCATTGGTTCAGTAGGAGGTTCCAAGTCATCACTATTAGATTCTATGCGGAAATCTGGAACTGAGTTGTTTGAACCATGTTCTAACATCTCTTCCAATAGAATCTTAGTAGTAGACTTGTGTTCTTTTATATACTTATCCTCTAAGAAGGTTGCATTTGTGCTAACAAATACCTTCTTATCAAGAGAATTATAGAAGTAGTAACCTTTCATTCCCTTTGGATATCCTACAAATAAACAAACATCTGATCTTGATTCCATCTTATCCGTCTTTCCCTTTAGCACATGTGCTGGACATCCCATATCCGAATGTGGTATACATTGGGCTTGAGCCGATTTCACAATTCAAAAGATGTCTTGGGAACTGACTTAGATGGTACAAATTCAAGATATAAATGGCCGTTTGTAGTGCATATCCCCAAAAGGATATAGGCAATGAGGAATAACTCATCATTGATCTTACCATATCTAAAAGAGTTCGATTTCTTCTTTCCGAGACACCATTCTGTTGGGGAATTCTTGGTGCACTCAATTGGGATAATATCCCATCATTCGATAAATAGACCTTAAATTCTTGGGATAGATACTCGCCACCTTGATCAGATCGAAGGGCCTTGATACTCTTACCTAATAGTTTCTCAACTTCCGTCCGAAACTCCTTGAATTTCTCCAAAGCTTCGGATTTGTGAGACATAAGGTATATGTATCCAAATCTAGAGCAATCATCTGTGAAGGTGATGAAGTGCTTGTATCCTCCTCTAGCTCGAGTACTAATAGGTCCACAAACATCTGAATGTACTAATTCCAAAACCTCTTTAGCCCTTAGTCCCTTAGCCTTAAGGGGCCTCTTGTTCATCTTTCCTTCTATACAAGATTCACAAGTTGGTATAGATTCTACCTCTAACTCATTTAAAGGACCATCCTTTACCAATCTTTGAATCCTATTTAGATTGATATAACCCAATCTAAGATGCCATAAGAGAGTTTCACTAGTACTAGACGACCTCTTTCGTTTCTTAGCAGCAGTAGTGTTATGTATAGAGCCAAGCAAAGGACTTAAGACATAAAAACTATTAACCATATGAGCCGAACATATAACTGAATTATTCAACTTAATAACCACCGTAGAATGGGTAAAAGTACCGAATAACCAACATGATATAAAACTGCTACGAAAACCAAGTTCCGTGTAAGTTCGGGAACATAATAACAGTCATCTAATATCAAATGCCTACGATTCTCAAAACATAAAGTAAAAGTGCCAACAGTTTTGATAGATACCACTGTTCCTATGTCAACCCTAATAGTGTACTCCCCTTCACTGAGATGCTTGGTTTCTTGGAACCCCTGCAAAGAATTGCAAACATGATTAGTGACTCCAGAATCTACAATCCAGGTATTAGTAGAATCAACCACTAAGTATGACTCAATGAATAGGGCATTATTATCTTTACCTTGCTTCCCCTTAGCTAGGTAATCTGGGCAGTTCCTTTTCCAGTGACCCTTTTGTCCATAGATAAAACACTTCCCATTTGGTTTCCCATCGGCAGTAGTTTTCTTCCCCTTTGACTTGCTATCTGGCCTTTTGCTCGGCCTCTTCCTCTTCTTTCCTCCTTTGCCACCAGAGGGCTTAGGATGACAGGGTCCGGTGGTAACAGTCAAAGCACTTCGACTCCTAGCTTTTAGAACAGATTCAGCATTTTGTAGCTCTTTCACTAATTCCATCAGAGACATGTCCATCTTGTGTAGATTATAATCAACTAAAAATTATGAGAACATCTCAGGAAGAGTCTCAAGGACCATGTCAATCTGCGTCTCGGAATCAATGTCATCTCCTAAAACCTCTGCAGCATTGAAGTGACCAATCATGGTTAACATATGGTCCCTTACAGATGCACCTGATTTCATGCGTGTGTTCATAATTGCCATAATGGAGGCTTGCCTAGCTTGTCGGCTTTGATGTCCAAACATCTCTTGAAGGCTTTCCATTATGGCAAAAGCAGTTTGCATATTCTGATGTTTTTATTGTAATACATTTGACATGGATGCCAAAATGTAACAACAGGCCATCTCATCAGAATGGTGCCACTTTTCATATGCAGCCTTTTGAGATTCTGTGGAGTCATCTTTAGGGGCATCGAGACAAACTTCATCTAAAACAAATTTGTGTTTTTCAGCGGTAAGAATATTAAGATTCCTTTTCTAGTCAACGTAGTTTTCTCAACATAGTTTTCTCCCATAAGTTGATTTTTCTTAAGTATTCTGATAATGGATTTAGCGACATTTTCTGTAAAATTAACGATTCACGTATTAATAAAATGAGTAATAATCTTTGTATGATGCATGTATATGAATATTCAAATATAGACCAAAAACTATATTTGAAATCAAAAAACCTTAAACACTTACAACTTTTAACACGCCATCTATAGGAGGTCAATGTAGTTGTTGGCAAAGTTGGGACCCTCCCACTTATTTTATTGAGCTAGGCATCTCATGCCACAAGAAAATGAGGATTGATTATTATTTGGCCTATGAATAATTTTGTTGAAATCTTCTATAGGAATTCTCCCAAAATATTCATATATAAGTGTAATAACCTCCGTCAATAATTTTAAAATATCCGAAATATATAAGATGCCATCTATAGGATGATCATCCCATTATTTTATTTTTAAAGAAATTCTATTGCTAGACCAATTTCAGTTAATATAAAATAACGTAGCTTTCCTAGAGAGAGACTGATATAATTCGATACTAATCATACGTATTTTAATAACAAATTGGATAACGGAGGAGGCCGTAGGTTTATACATGCCTATAAATCCTCTCCCACTTTCTATTTTGCACCGTTGGATCTTCAATAAATTAGTCCGTCAAATATAAACAATTATAATGAAACTAATTATAAAATATTTTTCAACCACCTCTAATTAATTTAGAGTGATAAAAAAATATTTAAATGTAAATGCATATGATTTTAGTGCACCGGGTGGTATTTCATTTAATCTACATGACGTGCGATAATAATTAAACATTCATCCGTCTATAAAGCGGTAAAAGCGATAATTAAATGAATAATAATCACTAGTGACCCATCCTAAGAATTTAAATTACAACATGGATAAAAAAAATTACATTGGGCCACATCTCGGCTCAATTCTTCAATCTTCTTTATAGTCCACCTCATGTAACATGAAAATAGGGTTAATTTAATTTTTAGGCCCAAAACTTAAAACCAACAAGGCCATTATCCAACAACATTGGCCCAAGTATTAAAGAAAGGTCCAAAAAATTCAAATTACCCTAATTTTCAAACCCTAGCAAGAAAACACACTTCCACCAAAAACACACACTACTCCGCGCGACTCAAAATAAGCCGCCACCGACATCGCCGCGGGAACCGACCCTCCGGCAGCATGCTAGGCAGCAGCAAGCTGCTGACCACAGCAACTTCTATTGCTGCTAACCGCAACAGCTGCCCTGTGAGGATCTATGGCTGCTCGACCAATTTTTCGTGTTTTTGGTTTTATTTCTTACATTTTGTCCTTCCTTTTTCTCCATTGAAATTACAGCAACAAGTTTACATTTCTTCCTCAAAATACAAAAATAAAAATGAAGAAAAAATACAAAAAACTTAATGTCTTATGGCTTACAATATTTCTAGAGAATAACTATAATAAATGAATTACAATAGGAAGTAAAAAGAAATTATAGGGCCAAAAGTGATTATGAGTGTATTGACAATAACTTTAAATATATTTAAAGCATAAATATGTCAAAATCAAATAACCTAACACCACCCAACTAAAATTCATATTACACTAGTATTTAAAAAAAATCCTAATCAAGGCATACAATAACCTTGACTCTGATACCATTTGTTGGTTAATGAATTTTAATCATCATAATAGGAAATTAATTTTCTTTTGAAAATTAAAATCATGTAAATAAGGATTTAATTAACCTTGAGATCATTGGATTATAAAATCCTCACATATAGAAAAGGGAGATGATAACCTTTTTGAAGGAGCTATTAATGGCCTAACCAAATGCTTCCTCCCTTAGATCTTCTCCCTTGTTCTCCACTAGGTGTAATTCCTTTTTAAGGAATGTGAAAAGTGGCTAACCCTAATTCTTCTTAAAAATATGCCAATAAAGTGTATATTTATAATGACCTATTAGGGTTTGAAAATTGCACAAATTTCCTTAAACTTTATTGTAGTAGGCCAATTAAGTCACACACTTTTTATTGGAGCCAAGAGAGGGACCTAATTGGACTCACATGACCCAAGCTCTGATACATGTTTTCAATTGGGTCAACTCTTGACCAATTGAGATACATCTATTAATCCCGACTTATTCTACCAAAAAAAAAAGATTGTACTCTCTAGTCAAGTGATAGTTATATAAGCAAATTATGATCCAATAACAATATGCTCTGATTATCGTTTCACAAGTCAACCCCCATTTGACCGTCAATATGTTGAAACTGGTAAAATGATCGTTTTGCCCTTCAACATGTATTACTCTCTAAGTCCCATTTTCATACGGCAAATTCGTTGTGATCAAATCACAATATAAAGTCCAACGATCTCATCGTCGACCTATTGAGCTCAGATTCAATTTGCCTAAGAAAATACCTTAGAGTGACGATCGTCTCATCTCAATGATTAATGGATTCCAATATTGTAAGTATATGATCTCTAATTGTTTCGACCCGATTCCCAAAGCACCGAGATCAATCTTTTATTTAAGACTTCACTCATTGGTACCTCAGAGAACTTGAACGAGTAATCAAAAGTACATTACTCACTCAGGATTTAGGTGACCTGTTTGATAATCAAGTAGAGTCTCATTTCAAACGGTCACAAATGAGTCATCTACGCGGTCCCGTTCAATGTGCATCGAAATACATTATTGTTCCTATTTCAAGATCTAGACAAATCTTAATAAGAACAATACAATCTTATCAACATAAAGCGTCCAACTTTATGAACCGATTGTGAACGACATAATTTTGATCACATCACAAATTGTGTCTTACTATACCCGATCTATCGAGTATACAAGTGACATCATATATGATCATGGAACCTTAGACAATCACTTCAAATTATAACATGCAAATAAATGAACGTAAATTCATAATGTGATTTTACAGAACATTACTCGAAGAATGGGCATCAAACTAATATGTACAGGGTTCTGAGGTTCGAAATTTGTCTTCTTCATTTCCAAAGCCATGTCGAGCTCCCATT